ATCGCGTAGATTTGGCTACCGGTTCTTTTCGATCTGGCTCAAGATGAAACTTTGAAGTTATTCGCGAAGTGTGAACCAATAGCTCTGAAGCAACAAAAATCTGAAAACTTGTTATTAGCAAAATTATACAAAATTTGAAACAATTTACTGCTACTTATGTTTCTAACGGAACTTTTTGGAGCCATTTAAATTTTTTGGTCAAAGTCACTTCTCTTTTTTGTACAGTTGGAAAACTGGAACGACGGTTTAGTGTACTAATGTCAGTTTTCAAAAAACATCGATGCATCGATACATCGACTATTTAAACGTCGATATTCTCGATGCATTGATGTTTTGCCGACATCCCTAAGGTTGAGCTTACAGTTTAATTCATGTTTATATTTCGGTGAACACCGCCTTGACCTCTCCGAGAGCTTTCTAAGCTTCCTAAACGTTTTGCATAGCAGCGCAAGATGCTATCCGCAAAACCAAAAGCATTAAAATTGGAATTTTTAAGTTTTGTAATGAAACTCCTCCCTTATAGGTATGTAATATGGTAGGGAAACCTAAAGTAATATCGCAAGAACAAAACATACATTGAATAATATAAAATACAGTTATTTGACTTTCATCGTGGAGTTGAAATACATCTTCACATATACATACAAACATACTTACATTCCGAAATTAATATATGGGCAATTCTCAATTACTTCGAACTTTCGCATGACTCGACAGTTTTTATTCGGACACATAATTTTCGCTGTTTCATTAACAAATATCAGGTTACATATATTGTGAAGATTATGTAAATGCAAAAAAGGACTACCGTACATATTTTCTAGCCAAATATGCACATAATTCAAAAATAAAATTGGGAAACTTTCACAAATAAAAGGTGTGACTTCTATTATTTTATTTGTTTATTTTTACGTTGCAAAATTTGGTGCGTTGATTGCTCATGTTTGAGTTTATAATGAACTGGTAGTATTTGAAGAGCAGAATCGAATGCAGTAATAGAAAAGAGGTTATGAAGAGTCAAAGTAGCGTGACTCCTTTTTTTTAATTCTGATACTCGCAGCTTTTATAGTATACTGTAGCTGGTGCGTACCTAAAACTGTTATCGGACAACTTTTATAGTGTTCTAGAGCATAAAGGAAATCAATCTAGACGTGGCAGGCTTATGTGCTCTTATTATAAGATACTAAAAAAAAACAACAACTTTTTTAAAAGGTTACGATGCGTGCACAAAATTGAAAGTGCATATGTTTATTAGCACATCGTCTGCAATTGGAAAATTTAGCCAAATACGTGTGTGCTCTATTGTACAATATACTATTGAACTATGATCCTCGTGGCACTACTTTTTATTTGTTCTTTAAAAAGTTAAAGGGCGAAAAATAAATAAGAAAAATTAAAAAAGAAACAATATAACTATAATACCCAAAGGCATTTTTTGTCCATGTCATCAAATCTGAACCGTTCATTCGATTTTCGAAAATGAGGAGTCAAATGAAAGAGCTTGGGCTGTAGATGCTAGGACTAACCGTTGATTTTTGGCAATTTATATTCGAAAATTTTTTTTATATGAAAAAAAAATGCGGAGCGCGGTCAACAAAAAAAATCCAAAAATCAATGGTAAACTACTGGTTGGTTCACTGTATGTGTATATCGGTAACTGATTTATCAATTTGTACTAAACTCAGTACAATTATTGACCTTGGCATAAAAGACCTATATGTTGAAAATTTTCGAAATCGGACTAAAATTACGCCCACTTTCTACTTAAAAAAAAAAAACCCGTAAAAAACGTATGGTGCATTGTTTTAAAACGATGCACCACGTTGGATTATGTATTCCAGCAGCTGAAGCAGCGTATACTAAAAATTTCAGACATGTGCTCGCAATTTAAGAAAAAATATTTCTTCACAAAAAAATTCGAAGTTTGTGGGAATTGCCCATATAATAGTTTACTATTCACTGGCATTGTGAAAGGTCGACTATAAATCTGTTGAATTTTGCACTTCTATATATCGCTCGTTTGCTGGAATTATACAAGTCATTGGCCAAAGTAGGGCACTAAATTAAGGTCTAATTGAAGCTTTATTATCTGCATGAAATTTAAAGGGTTTATTTATTACATTTTTTACTTCAAAAGACAAAAAACAATCAATATACTGATGAAACTATGGACCAAATATGGTAAAACTGAATTTATAGTTTTTCTCTCTGGCGTCAAGTTTTTAAATGGAAAAAATTCCGTAGATTTAAAAAGGATTCAAGTAGTTTTAAGTACTGAAAATTCCCTTTTAATTAATTTTATTTTTAAGCTACTAAAGTAAGAAAGATGAAATTCGAGAATGTTGTCGTGGATAAAATTTTAAAAGGGTATTTTCACTACCTACTCACCTTTATGCACCTTATTTTTTACTTCTTTATTTGATACCTATATCATTATTACACAATGCACTGCATTTTTAGTAATTTTTTTAATCAGTCATATCATTGTAATTTCAAAGTCCTTAATAAATCATGATGCCGGAATGAAAAATTAAAAACGCAGTTTTACTTTATTTGGCCAATAGTTTTGCGAATATATTGATTTTTATTGATTTGATTAAAGGGAAAACATTGCCTAAAAATTTTAAGTCCTTTTCCTGCCATTCTTCCATTGAAAGAGCGACATCTAAATATGTGCATAGGTTTTGAACATAATTGCAAAGACCAAAATTGTTACTTAAAAAAAAAAACTAGAAAATGTACATAGAAAAATTAACGCTTAGCCAAACTATTATTATCCTAAAAAATGTGGTTTATACATGCATATGTATGTGACAAACCAAATTCTCTCGAAAGAGGTCATTTTCTCTTCAAAGAAGTAATTAATTGAGTTCTCATACGATATTTTTATTTTAAGTCATTAAAGGAGTAATTTAAATGATACCTTAAAGAAATTTAAAAAAAAAATTTAAATTTTTGAATCGAAGTTTCTTATAGAGTACAATATTCCAACCTACAGCAAGCACAGAAGTTGTTTTGTTAAAAGTCCACAGATATAAGATAACGAAATTTCAACTCTCACTCAACGCTAACTAAAAATTAACAAAAGTGTCTACCATATTATTGCCATAAAATAAAACTGATTTTTAAACATGCATTCATACATATGTATGTACATATGTACAAACAATTACTTAACAAAATACTTAACACTTTTTCATGCTACAGCTTTAATGGTCTTAAAAGTTTACATAAATTAAACTAAATATTTATTTAATAAATACGTTAATAGTCAATAACGCCACGATCCAACCACGATCTTCTATAGGTATCCGTGTCTTCATAAATGTATGTATTTGGAAGAATTGAGCAGTACCCCTGCAGAAAATCTGACTAGCTCAGAACTAGCGTAGAACTAGACCTTTTGGCGAAACTACCAGTTCTAGCTCAATACCCAAGCAATGCTTTCAACTGTCCAGTTTTACACGGCGATGTCATTGGCGGTGGCAATTGTCGCCCAGTGCATTACCTTGCAACCAGTTTTTAACCGGCTCCATTTTGGACAGTTCTTTTTATAAGAAACCGTTTTTAAGATTCCATTTTTTGATATTTTTTCGTTTTATCTTTTCTGTTACAGATTCCATTTTTGTACATATTTTTTTTTAAAAACAAAAAACATTTAACTCGCGACCAACGATGGTTGAGTCGGAGGTCTCCTCGCTGAGCTACTTTCGTATTGTCCGAGTAGTGTGTATTAGCACATTTACACCGCAAATTTCAACCGTCCCGCTCTGAATTCCTTTTGCACAAGTTCAGAGATAGTTCTGAGATATGTAGTTCGGAACTAGAGCTTTGTCAGACTGTCTCTAAATTTTACTGCAGGGACTTTGGCCTAATTGAATATGATATCGAATTATGTGGGTGTTTGTGTATGTACGCATGCATATCTACATACATACTAGGGATGTCAATTTGTCGGCTTTTTCCTATCCCGGGATTTTCGGGATGGCGTTGTCACAATCCCGGGATCCCGGGATTTAGATATTCACTACTTTTCAACAACTTTGATCGAAAAAATTGCTTCCATATTGTTTAAGAAGTTCTCCTACCATGAAATAAATAATAAATAAATGGGTTTGAAACCTGCTTTTTTATAAAGTGGCGTTTTTTATCTTTTCTCTCTGACCGCAGGATTTATTTTGAAGGACTTTGTAATTTCAAAGATATGATTAATTCCAAAAATCTTTAAAAAAATTCAATGCAATGTAGAAATATGGGTAACAAATGCAATAGGATACTTCTTTAGAATTTAAAAAATTTTAACTTTTTGGACTCACAAGGACGATTAGGTAATTTTTAAGCTGACAAAGTTAGAAGAACGAAATTCGAGGATGTTATCGAGTTTATATTAGACCTTAACATGTAATTTTTTCAAAAACAAATATTACGAAATTTCAAGGGTAAAATTTTAAAATGACATTTTCAATATTTACCAGCCCTTCTGCTCTAGAAACTTGAATCTGTTTAAATTCTACAGGATTTCCTCATTAATTTTATACCCATACTTCTTCTCTAAGCACATTTCTCTGAATTTTTTAAATCATATTTGAGTTAATGACGTCAGAGTGAAAAACTAAAAACGTAATTTTACTATATTTGGCCCAGGGTTTAGCGAATGTATTGATATTTGTGTTTAAAATTTACTATCGCGCGGTGTTGTATGTATAACNCATACTTCTTCTCTAAGCACATTTCTCTGAATTTTTTAAATCATATTTGAGTTAATGACGTCAGAGTGAAAAACTAAAAACGTAATTTTACTATATTTGGCCCAGGGTTTAGCGAATGTATTGATATTTGTGTTTAAAATTTACTATCGCGCGGTGTTGTATGTATAACGAGCTAGACATTTATAAAAAATATTAATTATTAAATAAAAAAAGAAATATAGCCAATACTGGTCAAGAAAAGGAGTTTCTATTATTGCCATCAGTGCAAATTACAAATCCCGAAAATCCCGGGATTCTTGCCAAGTAATCCTTAAAAAGTCCGGGATAACATTCCTAATATATACATATATAAAAATAATACTTTTCAATATTAGCATCTACATAGACTTTTGGATTTAATCTGAACCGTACAGATAATCTATAATCTAGCGCAGCGTATTTAAAATCAGCAATGTTATTTTGCGGCATTAAATACAAATATTTTTGAAACAGTCTTTAATTGTTTTCGTTAATAAAGCTTTTCTATCGCCTGACAAATTATGAGGCTTTGGCAAACTGTATAACCGAACTCATACGCATCACCTTTGCTCCGTTTTCATGGTTGGCACTAACCGTGGCGCTAAGTGCATGATTCGATTCACTGTTGCCCGATGTCGGTGCAATGTGACTTAACGCATTATCAATATCTCGTGTAGAGACATTAACAGCTGCTGCAGCGATTGGCGATCCTTCGTGCATGTAAAGCTTACGTTTGCGCAACGGTAATGTCATTACATCGCGATCGGCCATCATCATAGAATCGCTCTCGGGAGATGATGAACGTTCGGGTGATTCTGTTGAAGATCGCAGTGGCGCTATCGCCGCCTCCACTTGGCGAACAATCTCGTTGTTGAGTGGTGAAGGTCTGAAAAATAAGACAAAAGATGTTTTAGGTTACGTACATAAAATATTCAGACGATTTTTGAGAATCTATTCAATCAATATCAGTTTAATAGTAGTTCCAAAAAAAAAAACAACAAAAGGCAACACTGTTTTCCATAGACTTTTTTGTGCTGATTTCGAATCCGTAAGTATAAATTTCCATCAGATCAAAGTGTCGAAAAATCGCTTTTTTTGCAATATTTGAGAAGCTCTAACAAAGAAACAAAAGGTTCAATAAATGGCTATAAGCACAGAATAAACAGTATACAGAAGACGCATGTCGACTATCGAACCAATTTGAATTTATGGCACGAGCGGTGAGGCAAGCAAGGGTAACCCAAGCGGCGCTGCCTCTGTTACTTTAGCAGTAGTTGCGATCCCGTACAAGTCCGGACTAGTCAGAAATAGTCAGAATCAGTCAGATTTTACTGGAAATCGATCCCGTACTCGGTTCTCTGACTATTGAGAGGACAAAAAAGAGAGTAAATACGGTTCTCTCTCTGTCAGAAGTAACCAGTTTTAGTCCGAGAATTTTTTGCTGGCAAATTCGGGTAAAGGTGTCAAACGATCAGCTGTAGTGGGTTTGGCAACCAAATTGTAAACAAAAGAAAAGTGCACTCTGCTAATTCATATTGAAAAATATTTAATTGCTTGTTTAAGTGGATTCTAATGAATTTGAAAGTATTTCTGGTTATTTACATGTGTGAGCTGAGTGTGTTTACATATAAAATAAGCAAAAATTTACAACCAAAATTTGGAGGTTATGTTGAAGTTGACAGA